ACACTTGCACAGGCCCCTCCCAGGGCACTGTCCCAACGCCTGCCCCACCACGTCCACGTCTGGGAAGAGGACGTGGCACCCCGAGAAGTGTGACCATGTGTGCCAGCGCTTCTCACCACGCTGGAGAGCAGCCGCTCTGGGGGGGCCCCCACACTGGCGTTTTAAAAATAGGGCTGGCTCTGCTGAGGTTGTCTTTAGAGTCACAGAGAATAAAACAATGCATCCATCATTTCCTCGCATGGATCACTCTTAGTGTCATGAAAAACATCTTAAGTGAATTGTCGACAAGGCTTTAAAAATGTAAATATGACAGATCATAGATCACAGAAAGGTAAGCCCACAGCTTCCTCCCTCCTGCACGAGACCTTCCTCCCCACAAATACTGCAGCAGTTCTTCTTAGTCCTTCTAGAAAAAAAATCCTGATTTGTTTCTCTTTTATTTTCATTAAGAGATAGGGTCTGCATCCCTTGCTTAGGCTGGAGTGCAGTGGCACGATCATAGCTCACTGCAGCTTTGAACTCATGGGCTCAAGCCATCCTTCTGCCTCAGCCTGTCAAGTAGCTGGGACCATCAAGATGCACGCCACCATGCCTGGCCAACTTTGAAAATGTTGGAGGTGGTGTCTCGCTGTGCTGCCCAGGCTGGCCTTGAACTCCTGGGCTGGAATAGGCCTCTCACCTCAGCCTCCCACAGAGCTGGCATTCCAGCCGTGAGCCATGGCGTCTGGCCCCTGATGTTTCTGTTTAAAGTTACTCCCGTGGTTTTATACAAAAAGTCATATGCAGCCCACACTGTTGTGCCCTTGACTTTCTGCAGGGTGTCCCCTGTGCCTCCCGGTTGGACGCATCTGCCTGGTTATTTGCAGCAACCTGTGACATTCCGTGGCGGTGCTGTTTTCATCATTCCTGAGCAGTGATAATAAACAGGCACCTGCTCTGAAGGCACCTCAGCTCTGCAGCACCACAGGGCGGCGCTGCCACGGGCCCTGGCCCTGCCCCTGGAGTTCCCAGTCAGTCCCAGAGCCCAGAGCCCAGGCTAGGGATGTGCCAGGAGGTGCCTTCATCTTACCCAGGAAGGGCCCACCCTTCATCTTACTGGGAGACTGGCACTCCGTGGCCCCTTGGGGCAGGCCCCAGTTGGTTGAGCAGCTGCAGCTCTGACTAGTTGAGGCACAAGGGGGCTCTGCTGGGGCCTCTGGGGTCCCCCACACTGGGAAGTTCTCCCTGCAGGGGACACCTGGTGCAGAAACCCCGAGGGAGCAGCCAGGAGCTCAGTACTGAGGGTGGTGGAGCAGGGAGATGGGAAGAACTCTCTTCCAAAGATGTGTCTGGGTCCGAGGGAGCCACAGAGCCGTGCCCCTCCCCCAGCCACTGTGTTAGGCCGGAGGAGGCGTCCTCCTGCCAAGCTGTGCCACGGTGTTGAGGTTTTGCTGCTCAGCACATCCAGGGTGACACACTTCAGGACAATCCACCTGATGCCCCCAGCCCTGCATTGTTGCCAGAGCTCTCCCTGCAGCAGGAAGGGCTGAGCCCAACCTCAGAGGGGCTTGGGGCGACATCAAGGGATGGCAGAGCAGGGAGTGCAGGGAGCCCAGCCCTGAGGAGCCGCCCTGCTGCCGCCTCCTCCGTCTGGAAGGGGCACACTTCCTGAGCTGAGCCCAGGACCCGAGCCTTGTGGCTGCCCAAGGTGCCCCATGCCAGGTGTGCAGCCTCTGCCAGGCCCAGGACAGCTGCATGTGGCTGGATCCCCCTTTCCCCTCCCCTCCCCAGGCCTCTCCCAAGTCCAGGGCACTTGCTTTAGTTTTCCAGTGTGGGGAGACGGGGCAGTGGCCACAGAGCCTGGTTCTGTGCTCGGTGCTGCTGGACTCCAAACCTAGGTCTGGAGCTGAGTCCTGGTGAGGGTGGGTGACCTGGGGAGGATGAGATCCCCAACATGCCTCCAGGACACAATCTCAAAGGAGCATCACATGGGGCTGGGGGCGTGTGGGGTGACCTCAGCTCTCCCTCGTGGGGTCCTGCCGGGCCAAGAGCTCTATTGAGTGGGGCCCACCGTGCCTGTAGACCCCTCCGTGCCGCCTGGCATCATCATGTGGCAGAAGCAGTCTTTGGTGAGCACATCACCTGACCTGACTTCTGGGTTCCAGGTACCGTTTCTTACTGCCCCCTGGCACCACTGTGCCCTGTCCACTGGTCATGTGACTGGGTGTCAGGCACAATCCCCTTGCAGCAATAAACAATGCTGTGGGCGATGGTGGGCAGAAAAGAGGCCTGGCGGGGGGGCGCAGATCTGGTAGCCTGGTGTGGCCAGCCCAGAGGGCTTCCTGGTGACTCCTTGGAGCTTGAGTGTCTCCCTTGGACAGGTGAGATCAAGGGAATGCCAGGAAGGTGGGCATGAGGGGCAATCTTGCCAGGGGCACAGCGCATCTGCACTGCCTGTCCAGACAGGTGCCAGACCGGCACGAGGTCTCACTGGCTGAGGTGCAGCCTCTGTCCCCAGGTGCCCCGGCTTGCCCCATCTGCTGCAGAGGAGGCCCTGTGGTGAGCCTTGTGGTCTTGGGGCCTGCGTGCACCCTTGGTGAGTTACCATGGTGACTGCAGGCCTTGGACTGGTGCTGGGGTTCAGACCCCAGGTCGCACAGGCCTTGGCTCATGGCACGGCCAAGCCTTGGGGTCTGTTGGGGTTGTCAGGGCAGGCTTCCTGGAGGAGGGGCTGAGGTTGTGCATTTTCCCTCTCATCCTGCCACCCACTAGGGCTACTCTCCAGGGCCACAACTGTCACAGAACGAGGAATCCAGACCTCGACAGAAGAGCCTGGTATGGATGACAGTCCCAGGGGAGACCTCTGCTGTCTTGACCCCAGCTCATTTCTGTGTGACCCTCCCTTGCTGGCGTTTTTGCTCAGAAGACTGTTGTGGACCTCACGGTTCTGGGAAAAGTCCGGTCACGTGTCACTGGACAGTGCAGATGCATTCTGAGAAACTTGTGGTGAGGTGATTTTGCCATCCTACGTCAGAGTGTGCCCCGTGCTCCCAAAAGACGGCCTGCTCCACACCCAGGCTCCTGGACCACACGCCTCATGGCATGCTGCTGTGCTGGATGCTGTAGGCGCTGTCATGAGATGGTAGGTGTCTGTGTCCAAACGTAGAAAAGGTAGGGTGAAAATACGGTGTAAGAGATAAAGCATGCTTCTGCCGTGGAGGGGACGCACCCTGGGTGGAGCCTGTGGACCAGACGGGGCTGTGGGTGTCGGGGAGGGAGTGGGGGTGCACGGGACCCTGCTGCAGGCTTGATGAGCAGCACACCTAGGCCACACTCCATTTATTTAAAACAAAATTTCCTCGGTGACACATTAACCTGAGCATCGATTTGTAACTTTTTAATTTTATGAACTTTAAAAGCATTTTTTGACGCTTTTGTAATATCACTGACCTTAAAACACAAACATTGTACAGCTACACAAAAATATTTTTCCTTTTTTTGTTTTTTAAATTTTGTGTTTTTGAGACAGGGTCTTGGTGTATTGCCCAGGCTGGAGTGCAGTGATGCCATGTGGGCTCATTGTAGCCTCAGCCTCCTGGGCTCAATTGATTTCCCACCTCAGCCCCCCAAGTAGCTGGGATCACAGGCGTGCACCACCACATGCTGCCTAGGCTGGTCTTGAACTCCGAGACCCAAGCGAGCCTCCTGCAGGGGTGGCGAATATCTGAGTTGCCAGTGGCAAATCCACATGGGTCTGCAACAACCTTAACTTGCCTCCTTGGAAGAAAGAATTGAACTGAGGTGAACTGAGGGGTATGAGACAGAAAAAGGAGCCCGAGGCAAGTTTCACAGCCGGAGTGGAAGTTTATTAAAAAGCTTTAGAGCAGGAAAGAAATGAAAGTCCATGTTCAAACCTGCGCTCCGAATGAAGAGACCCCCCAAACAGCCTTTGTGTGAGCAACATGGCTGTTTATTCACCCGGGTGCAGGCGGGCTGAGTCCGAAAAGGGAGTCAGCGGAGGGCGGTGTGATAGGAGTTGGTTTTATAGGTTTGGGGTAGGCGGTGGAAAGTTACAGAAGTGACAGTTTAGGGTGGTTTTTTTCAAGCTGGGAGGGATGGTCATAGGGTCTGGAGTCACAAGGTTGACCAGGGTTGGTTACAAAGTCCAACTGCCTTATCAATTGAGGTGGGAGTAAGGAACAACAGAGAAAGTCTCAAAGTTAATTAGGCGCCACAGGGGTTGGTCATTTCTTCTCCTTTTGTGGTTTTCCAGTGACGTCAGCCTTTCTAGTTCTGGGAGGCCATCCAGAGGTGTATGTGCAGGTCCCGGGGGTCGCCATGGCGTCCTTGGCACCGTCAGTCAGCCTGAAAGACCTTACAGTACACTTGGAAGAGACTCAACCAGGCACTTTGGAGGTCAAGGGCAGCATTTGACCTTTTGACTTGGGGTTTTATATGCTGGCGTGCTTCCAGGGCTTTGTGTCCCGTTTCCCATGACCCTTTCCTCAGAGCGGGCTGCCTGCAGGCACAATGCCCTCCTCGCTCTTGGGACGTGAGCATCTGCAGTGCAGGGCGTTGAAGAAGTTGTACGAATGTTCACCTGAGGCTTCTTCCCTTTTTCGGTGGGATGGCCCCAGGAGGTCATGCTCTGCCATTTTATCTCTTAATGCGCACGCTCCAGCCCACTCACCTGATTCCTGAGATTTTATTGAAAGCCGCTGATTACCAATTTCAAGTGTCTTTATCTATTGGGAAATTGCCTCTCCCTGGTGCCTGTGACCAGTGATCATTTATATAGAGGCAGTGTGGCAACTGTGGGACCATCACCTTGAGAACTAAACTCTTGATTTTTTTTATCTAAGGGGTCTGGGGAGTCATGCCCTACGAATCATAAATTCTCATCATAGGGGTTTTATTTAATCCTGCATATCATGACTTACTTTCCAGCCTGACTCTGGCATAACATTACAAGTCAGTGAAGAAAAATCAAAGCATTTTACCTCAAAACGTGTTTCTTTGCCTTATTTTGAAAAGGCTCTGCAAAGCTGTTCTTTGTGGGGGAAATTTGCATCTGTAAAGAATCTATTAACATAACGATCTTTTTCTTCCAGAGAGACCCTCCCAATTCTAAAGAGATTAAGTAAGATCTGAATAGGAAACATTCGTCATCTGTTGTCTCTAAGGACAGCCACTATAAGACTTCAAAGAACTTTGGTCTCCACAATCTTTATCTTAGCCTGAACATTCCCTTTCTATCAATCCCAGGTCTTCAGACAAACTCAACCGTCAACCAGAAAATGTTTAAATTCACCAATAGCCTCGCAGCTCTTCCCCCCTGCCCCCACCTTTGAGTTGTCCCGCCCTTCTGGACCAAACCAATGTATTTTTAAAATATATTTGATTGATGACTCATGCCTCTCTAAAATGCACAAACCAAGCTACACGCCGACCACCTTGGGCACATGTTCTCAGGACCTCCTAGGACTGTGTCACGGGCCACGCTCACATTTGGCTCAGAATAAATCTCTTCAAGTATTTTACAGAAAACAAACCCAGCATTTTACAGAGTTCAGCACTCTTCATCAACAGCCCTGGTCACTCAGCTGGCACTCCTGGTGGGCTGGGGCAGCCCTCCCCCTTCCGCTCCTGCCTGACTGCCTACCTGCTGTGTCACTCCTGCCTCGGCCTCCAGAGTTCTGGGAATACAGGCAAATATTCTTTATAGTATGGCAGCTTTTCTCTTTAATTTTTTTTTTAACTTTTAAACTTTTTTGTTAAGAATGAAAACAGAAACACATTAGCCTAGGCCTACACAGTGAGGATCGTCAGTATCACTGTCTCCCGCCTCCTCATCTTGTCCCATCAGAAGGTCTTCAGGGGACAGTGGCGCACCTGGAGCTGTCACCACCTCTGCTAACAGGGCGGCCTTCCCAATCCCTCCCGAGAGCCCTGCCTGAGGCGCTGCTGGACGAGGCGTCGCTCTTAGAAACGTGGCGACTGCTTGTGCGCACATCAGGCACCGTGAACATTCCTGTCCCTGAATGAAAACCTTCCACGCTGAGGTCTGTGCTTCCGCCTTTTAAGGGCCCGTGGAGGTCCGCAGAGCTGCTGCTAAACCCTTCGGTGTAGACTTTCCGGGGCGCACCTGCGTTTCTGCAGTTGCCTTTTCTCTCGCGACCCTCGTCCTGTTCAACAGCTCCTCCCTTGTCAGTTCTTCAGGAACCCCCTCGGGGCGCTGCTCAGCGCCGTCCTCCTCCTGCAGGCTGGCCACAGCCTTGCTGAGTGCTGCCACCTCCTCATCCCGGGCACACCCTGGGCAGTCCTGGGTGAACCCCTGCGCGCCGTCCTCCAGATGCCATTCACGCAGGCTGTGGAAACGGGCACGCTCTGGAAGGAGAGCGGCCAGACCGGCCTCGTGTGAGCAACTCGCTGTTCGTTCACGCGGGTGCGGGCGGGCTGGGTCCGGAGAGAGCCAGTGCGGGCGGAGGGAGGGGAGGTGGTTTATGGGCTTGGGGTGGGCAGTGGAAAGTTACGGAAGTTACAGTGTAGGGCAGTTTTTTGCAAGCTGGGTCGGGGTCGTAGGTTTGCGGGCTGCGAGGGGCTTGTAGCCCTGAAGTCAGGAGGTTGACCGAGGTCGGTTACAAAGTCCAATGGCCTTGTCGATGGACGGTCGCCTAAGAGACAGGGGAAGAACGTCTCAGGTTAGCTAGGCGCCCCAGGGGTTGGCCGCTCTTCCGCTTTTCAGGAACTTCCAGCTACTTCAGATTTTCTGGTTCCTGGAGGCCCTCCAGAGGCGCATGTGCACGCCGCGCGCCATCAGTCAGCCCAGAACACCTTATACGCACCTCGCAAGCACGGCTTGGGACGTCACCCCCAGCTCAAGCGAGGTTTCTGCCGCAGCCCTCGATGCCATCCTTCCGCAGCTGCGTCCGTGCCTTCCCGGTAGACTCCTGAGCTGACGCTGTGGCCTGGGCAAAGGGCGTCCTCGGCCCGCGGGCCTTAAAAGCTGCTGCGAGTGCTTGGTCCATCGGCTGGGTGAAAGGAGTGGTGTTTGGAGGGAAACCACTGTGACAGGGATGAAAATCACCAGCAAGAGGTGGCTGTGTGGGGGCGTCACCACCACCAGGCAGGACCCTAAAAGGAACTGTGTTATTCGGCAACTCAGCAGGGCCTCTTGGAAGAGGAGTGGGTCATCCCTGACTGCCTTACCCCTGCGGAGCCCTGGCCCTAAGGTGCCCCGGCCCTGAGGTGCCCTGGCCCTACGGAGCCCCGGCCCTGAGGTGCCCTGGCCCTGCGGAGTCCAGGCCCTGCGGAGCCCCGGCCCTGAGGTGCCCCGGCCCTGCGGAGCCCCGGCCCTGAGGTGCCCCGGCCCTGCGGAGCCCTGGCCGTTGTGCTCACTGTTGCCCTTGAAGGCCCCGGGTTCTCACCGTGCAGGATCTCACTCAGCCTGCAGCATGGCCACCAGGCAAGGCTGTTACTCCGTCCTTTAAAGCCTTGAAACCTGGCACTGACTTGGCCTCCTTACGGACGAAAGTGAAACACCTATGCAAAAATTACATCAGTGAGAAAGTGATGGCAGTGAACGAGGCCTGAGCTAACCCCTCCCATCTTACCTTTCCCTGAACTGTTCCTGGGCTAACTTGGGAAGAAAGTTAGGCTGTCGTTTAAATGAAAATAGGCCGTGCCCCAAACTCAACTGCTTTTGCAAAGCTGATGGGAGGCCCTCAGGCTGGGGAGGAGAGGAGTCCTGCGAAGGCGCAGACAGGAACGATCTCCAGCCTTTCTATCGGAGTTTATAAGATGTGCAGCTTCCCCGATTACACCTGCAAATAGCATCACTGTCGTAGAACCCGAGATTGGCTTTTTGAGATCTCTTTCCAGGTTTCCTGCATGGCTGACACCTGTGGCTCCACTTGAACCTGTCAACCCCTGCTCCTGTGGCCCGCACAGAGGCGGTTCAGCCCACAGGAGGACAGCTCCTCCTGTCATCCTGGGAATGATTTCAGTAGTGACTCAGTCTCCCACATGGTGTGGCCAGACTTGTGTCTATTAAACTATTTCTCCGCAAAAATGCCACGGTCTTTCTCAGTGCAGTGGACAGGAAAAACCCTTGGGCAGTTACCAAAGTCCTTTCAGGCATCTGTTTCCAGAATAGGGAGGTTTCCTCCATATTGAAGATTTGCTGTGGCAAGTAAATTTCCTGCATAATCGAGTTCCCAGAAATGTCTTCAGCTGCCTTCACGTTGGCACCCACAGTCTCAGCACTCACGTTCACATTAGGTAATGCATAACCATCCTCGAATCACGTAACCCACCCGGAACTAGCAGTAAATCTGACACCAAAGTCGGGTCCAGCTTTTCCTTTCTTTTTCTTATGTATTTATTTTTTTAAGATGGGATTTCACCATGTCGGTCAGGCTGGTCTCGAACTCCTGACTTCAGGTGATCCGCCCGCCTCGGCCTCCCACAGTGCTGGGATTACAGGCGTGAGCCACTGTGCCTGGCCCAGCCTTTCCTTTCAACATCAGAAACAAACTTTTTGCTCTGGCTGTGACTGCCATGGTGCTGAAACTGCCTCTGCAAAAATTATAACAAAAAAGTATGGCAGTGAAAGAGACAATTCACCTAACTGACTCCATCTTGCTTCTAACCTCCAAGCTGTCCTTGCTCATTCCCAGGTGCAGGCTCAACCAACTTTGGGAGGAACTTAGTTTATAGTGTGAAAGGAAAATAAGTCTTGGGGCCCCAAAAGCACTAAGCCAAAGGGAAAAGTCAAGCTGGGAACTGCCGAGGTCCCAACCTGCCTCCTGTTCTATTCCTGAAAAAGATGGCTATTAGGATTAAAAAGCTGCATGCCTCCTTCACAAGGAATTTCCTATGGACAAAGGACAGGCAGAACCAAAGTCTCACTCCTCAGCTCACTGAGATAAATGCATATCTGACTGCCTCTTTTGGACAGGGCAGTCAGAAACTCAATCTACCTATGACGCAGAAGTCCCCTCCCTGCTCCGAGTTGCCCCACGTTTGTGGCCATGGGGCATATGTTGATTGATGTCTCCTGTCTCCCTGAGATGTGTAAAACCAAGCTGGGCCCGAACACCCTCGGCACACGTTGTTGGGACTGCCTGAGACTGTGTCACAGCGCGTCCTTAACCTCAGCAAAAGAAACTTTCTAAATTGGTTGAGGCCTGTCTCAGATATTTTGGGTTCAAATGCCCAAGGGACATATGAAGCTTCTTTTTTTTTCTTTGCAGCTGTCTTATTTAGGGGTCAAAAGGGAGGCAGGTTGCCTTACGCAGTTCCCAGCCTGACTTCCCCTTGGCTTGGTGATTATCTTATGGAGCACCGTCGTAGATGTGTTCTGTCGTGGACTGAAACATAAAGAAATTTATAAACAAAAGAGGTTTGGCTCACGGCTCTGCAGGCTGTACAGGGAGCATGATGCCGGCATCTGCTCAGCTTCTGGGGAGGCCTCAGGAAACTTACAATCATGGCAGAAAGGGAAGCAGGATGCCTTCACATGGCCAGGGCAGGTGGGAGAGGGAAGGGCAGCCATTTTCTTCCTCAGTGTTATGGAAAGGGTGATGCCTCCTGCTGTTTACTTAGGTTTCACAAAATGCAGTGTCTACCCCTGCCGGGGTGCTGAAGGAGGGTCCCGGGTTGAGACAGCCACGCCCACCCTATATCCACGCCCCCCTCATTTCCAGCCATTTGAGTTAGCCTGGGCCACGGGTCTGGCTGATGGCCTGTGAGTAGAAGCGATGCCCCGTGCCCTGTGCAGAGACTCTGGGGGCCGTGTGTTCTAGTTGGGAGTAGCAGATGCAGTGGCAAGGGGTGTGGGAGTGAACCCCACCTTTATGGTGAGAGCCGTAGGGCCCTCTGTGTCTGTTGGGGGTGGTAGGCCCTGTGTGGTCCAGTTCCCCAGAGGAGGTCCCTTGAGCTGGAGCTTGAGGGGTGACGGGGTCCCTCGTGGGAGGTGAGTTTGTGTCTTTACCCCCTCTCTGTGGCTCCAGCTGCAGCAGGTACAGGACCTTGATGGCCTTCAGCCCAGGAGGAGAGGCTGAAGATTCAGTCCCCCAGTAGCTTCAGAGTGTGGCCCTCAGGGAGGCCTGGGTTAGACAGGTGGCCTCCTGAGATGTGGCTCCAGGTCCCAGGGGCCTGGGGCTCTGGGATGAGCTGTGAACTCCCATGCAGCACCAGGGACTTGCCCCAACACTGTGCTGAGAGGCTTGGCCCATCTTCTGCCTGGGCCCCCCTGCCCTGGGCGTCCTCTAAAGGTGCCTGCAACCCCCGAGCTGAGGCGTTTGTGCAAGAAAATGCAAAGCTGCAGAACCGCGGCCGCCTAGGCAAACCCTTTCCAGGAACTCCCCGCGCCTTCCACACATTGCTCTGTCCACAGCCCCAGGCATTTGCCTTCCCTTTTCTTCACCCCTCCAACGTTGGTTTTCTCTGTTCTCCCTTTAGAATTGAGTAGGGGGTGCAGGGGTGAGGGTGTGTGTGGGGAGGGGTGTGGGGTGGGGAGGGAAGGGGGCTTCCTGAGGGTCAGTTTAGGATGATGCCTCTTTGACCACCACCCCCGAAGATGAAACCAACAATATACCAAATACCGCGTGTTTTCATCTATAGTGGGAACTAAACAATGAGAGCACGTGGGCAGAAGGAGGGGACGACAGACACGGGGTCCTGCTCGAGGGAGGAGGTTGTAAGAAGGGACAGGTTCAGAAAAAAAACACCAAACTCTTGGGTACTGTGCTGAGTACCTGGGTGATGAGCAATCTGCACACTGATCCCTCGAGTCAGTTTACCAATATAGCAAACCTGCACATGTACCCTTGAATAAGAAATAGAAGTTAAAATGGAGAGAGAGAGAGAGCTCTCAGCTGATGGGCGTGTTGGCTCATGCCTGTAATCCCAGCACTTTAGGAGGCCAAGGCAGGAGGATTGCTTGGGGCCAGAAGTTCAAATCCAGCCTGGGCAACAAAGCAAGACCCTATTTCTATAAAATAAAAATAAAAATCAGCTGGGGGTGGTGGCACATGCTTATAACCCTAGCTACTCCGGAGGCTGAGGCAGGGAGGCTTGCTTGAGTTCAGCAGTTCCAGCTTGGGCAACAGAGTGAGACCCTCTCTCTAAAAAAATAAAAACGGCCGGGCACAGCGACTCATGCCTATAATCCAGCACTTTAGGAGGCCAACATGGGCAGATCACTTGAGGTCAGGAGTTCGAGACCAGCCTGACCAACAGAGTGAAACCCTGTCTCTATTAAAAATTCAAAAATCAGCCGAGTGTGGTGGTGCACGCCTGTAATCCCAGCCACTTAGGAAGCTGAGGTACAAGAGAGAATCGGCTGAACCTGAGAGGCAGAGGTTGCGATGTGCCGAGATCACACTATGCACTCCAGCCTGGCTGGAGGGAGAGACTCCTTCTCGAAAAGAATGAGTGAATGAATGAATGAATGAACGCATGCGTGCCTCAGTCCCCTTTGTCTTGGTTGGGGCTGAGCTCAGTCTGTCCTGGAATCTCCTCCCCACTGCAGAGGTCTGAATGAAGCCAGTCTTGCCAATTTTCACGAGTGTCTGGTGGGCACTGTTTTACTTTTTTTTTTTTTTTTTTTGAGGCAGAGTCTCACTCTGTCGCCCAGCCTGGAGTGCAGTGGTATGACCTTGACTCACTCCATCCCCTGCCTCCCGGGTTCAAGCAATTACTGTGACTCCTCCTCCCAAGGAGCTGGGATTACAGGCGTGCGCCAACACGCCTAGCTAAATTGTTTGTATTTTTAGTAGAGACAGGGTTTCACCATGCTGACCAGGCTGGTCTTGAGCTCCTGGCCTCAAGGGACCTGCCTGCCTCAGCCTCCCAAAGTGCTGGGATGACAGGTGTTCTCCTTCGATGCTGGGACCCCTCCCCGTGCTATGGCACCCACTTCCCCAGTGTGAGGGTGAGAGCGCTGGGGAAGTGGTCCATGAGGCAGCTCTGCCCTGGGCCAGAAACCCAGATGCAGCCCTGCCAGACCCCTAGCCGAGGGGCAGGGGGCTGTGCCACCATTCAGTGGGTGTGATTGAGCGCCTACTGCGTGCCCGGCAATTCCATCTGCTGGGGATAGAGTGATGGCAGAGGTGATGGCTTCTGCATGCACAGGCAGGCAGGTGGTCTGTGGCGGGGCTGGCAGGGGGTCTGGGGGTACACCTGGTCCATCTGGGGCTGTGGGGCAGGAGAGTCCCCCCCATTGGCCCTGCAGTGTGAAGTCTGGGAGATGGTGAGCTCTGGGACTGGATGTCCTGGGTTCAAATTCCAGCTCTGCCTCTTAAGATGCAGCCTTGGGGAAGTCACCAACTTCCTGTGCCTCAGTTTCCTCCTGGGGAAAATGGGGATGACGGTAATCTTGGCAGAGGGTTGCTGAGAAGGCTGAGCGCATTTAGAGCCTAACAGCTTCAGCAGGCGCTTGGCCACTGTGGGAACTCGGTGAGGGTGAGCGGTTCCCTCAGCGGCCTTCTCAGCAGGCTTCATAAGACGGGATGACGTTCCTGCGCCATTTGAGATGGTTTTGGACCCTTCCTCCTCTCCCTCTTTGCCCCCTTCCCTCTCCCTTTCCCCTTCTTCCCTTTTTCCTTCTTATGGGGAGCCAGATGGCAGGTGCTCACTTGGGGCCCTGGGCACCTGGAGTCTCACAGGCTCGGCTGCCATTGGCTGTGAGCTTCGGCAGCCCCCGCCCTTCCTGGGCCCCAGCCTCTCCATCCATAAAACCAGAAGGCTGCCTGGAGGTTCCAAAAGTTGCTCTCGGCCCTGACCCCTGCCCACATCTGTCTGTTGAGGAGGCTGGTGCCACTCTGTGGACAGCCGGTTTTCCGCCTCTTCCCGGGTCTGTGGGGAAGTCACCCCTCTCTTTGATTGTTTTGTTCAAAGAGGGAGAATCCGTTTGGTTCTGTAAGTCATAACCTGCCATTCTCCAGGACGGTTCTGACCCATAAAATGAGGGCTTCTGTAAATGTCAACCCGGAAGGTTAATGGGTGCGTTTTCAGAACACTGTGCCAGGAAGCTGCCCTGAGCGCATCCATGGGAATGGTCCTGGGACAGGCAGCCGCCTGAAATAGACACCTCCCCTGCCTGCTTCCTGTTGCTGTTTGTCAGCCACATCTGCAAGCTTCTGATGGAGCAGGGGTCAGGTGGACGGAGAGGAAGCTTCTGAATATTTCTAATCCTCAGCTGCATACGAAACTGCAATGAACTTAGTGGTTTCAAAGACACATATTTATCTCACGGTGCAGCAGGTCTGAAGTGTGAGTGCAGCTTAGCAGGGTCCCCTGCTCAGGGTCACACCAGGCTGCAATCACGGTGCTGCCAGGGCAGTGGTCTCAGCCAGGGCGGTGGTCTCAGCCCAGGCTCGGCCAGGGCAGACTGTGCATCCACACTCACCAGGATGTTTGCAGTATTCAATTCCTTGCTGGCTGTTGACCGGAGACTTTTTGTGCCTCAGTTTCCTCCTTGGCAAAGTGGGTTGATATTTCCTGGGCACAGGGCGCTCTCCCAGGGCCAGCTCACACACAGCAGCATGACCAGTTATGATCTCATGCAACGCCATCACGGAAGCTGTGCCATCGCCTTGCTGGGTTCTGTTGGTCAGACACAGGTCCCGGGTCCCAGGTCCCGCTCACCCTCAGGGGAGATTAATCAAAGGTGTCAGCGCCAGGAGGTGGGGAACCTGGGCCACTGCAGGGTCTGTCCTCCACTCTCTGGATTGGTCCAAGACCATTTCTTCTTTGCCCTTGAACACACAACACACACGGGCACACGCAGACTCAGCACAGGCTTGAATAGCACCACGATGAGGTCATGTCAGACAAGAGGGGACGTCTCCCACCCCTCACCTCCCACATGAGAGGCAGAGGCCGGCCTCTGTTTTCTGGCTGTGGCCCTGGGCCGCCCTCCCACTGGGTCTCTGCTTCCTCATCTGTAGGGGGAGGAACTTGGACTTGGCAGGGGTCCCTGGAGGATTCTGTGCCGACAAAGCCCATCTCCTTCCCCAGGCTGCAGGCCCCGCATTTAGGGGTGTTCTCCCACACAGTCCCTCTGTACACACACACTCGAGGGTCTACTCCGTTCACCTCACAAGGCCACCTGCCCCCTACAGCCCCGGGAGGCGTGGCGCTCTATCCTGGCAGACCCTAGGCCGTGGCTGCAGCAATCGGACCAGCTTGAGCATCGGCCAGTGAAGGTGGAAAGCAGCCTAAAGCCACAGAATCGCCTACGTGGGACTCTGGACCCAGGTGTGGAGGGCACTGGGCTGACAGAGTGTGCAGCACCACATGCCCACCAGCAAGGGACAGAGCACCCGGTACCAGAGGGGGCCTCTGTCACAGCTCCGGCCTATAGAATGGAGATCTCAGGTGGCCTCGAGGATGGAGGACTGGGTGGAGCTGCCAGGCCACACGCCTCAGAGAACCCAGCACGGAGCTAGTGCCCAGTCAGATACAGGGAAGCTTCCGCCCCGATGCCCACACAGGGGTCCTACCACCAATGGGGGTTAGGTGGACACAGGCTTCTCTTGGGAACAGAATTCCCTTCCAGGAAGAATCTGCTGCCCACCTGTCATGGGCTGAGTTTGTCCCCTCAAATCCATGTGCATCCGGGACTTCAAAATGTGACCAGATGTGGAGCAGGGTCTCTGCAGATACAATCAAGGTAAGATATGATACTGGGTTGGGGTGGCCCTAACTCAAATGACAGTGACATTATGAGGAGTGGACACACCCACACGCGGGATGAGCCCGTGAAGATGGAGGCAGGGGTTGGGCTGTGGCCACAAGCTGAGGAGCACTGAGGCTGGCCAGCAGTGCCCGGGCGCGGGAAGGGCCAGGAGGGTGCTCCCCAGGGCCTTCCTCCGCAGGGGGCCCACCGACACCCGGGTGTTAGACTTCTGGCCTCCAGGACTGGGAGACAGTAAGTACCTGTGGTGTGAGCCCCTTCATTTGTGGTACTTTGCAACAGCAAACTCGTTTCATGATTAGGAGCCGAATATATCCCCAATTAGAAGGGGAGTTTTTTGTTCCCAAAGCTCCCTCCTGTCCTCGCGCCCCCACAGCAGGAGGGGTGATGGTGAGGGAGGCTGTTCAGAAGCAGCACCCGTTCTGTTGCCTGTGGCGCTGGCGTGGTGGAAGGGGAACCGTCAAAGCGGCGGCCTCTTAGGAAGACTTCTCTTACAGCCTGGGCTGCCTGCCCGCTGGGGTCCCAGTCGACCCAGCACTGCTGCGCTGTGGCTACACCCAGCAGAGGCTCTGGCGATCGGTCAGGCTGGACACAGGGCAAGGCCCCAGGCTTCCCTATGGCTGTGTCACTGGGGGTGTGGGCAATGTGCAGGCCAGGAGCTCCCAGTTCCCTGGGGCCCGCCAACCCAGCTGCCCCTGGTTCCCGGGAGTTCTCTGCCCCTGTATCTCCCAAGCCCGAGGCCCAAAACCCAGGGACCTCCTCCCTGTTTTAAATTCAAGGCCACTTCCCAGGCCTCACCTTAGTCGACTTCCGCAGCACTTGCTGGGGGCCCCTCGGGCTTCCTGAGGCTTCCAGAAGCTTCCTCTCCTCTCTTTGGCCTGGGCCCCGGCTCCTGGTTCCCTCCTGTGTCCCCGAATCTCTGGCTGTTCTTTGGTGCCCTGGCTGCTTCTCCACCCTCCTCAGTGTTGAAGTTCTGGGAGGCTCTGAGCCCCTCTCGTTCTTACCCTCCTGGCTAGCTTTGTCTCTAGCAAGCGCTCGTACGCAGCTCTGTGCCGAGGCTTGCAAACCTCAGCTTGTCCTGGCCTTGCTCCCGAGCTACAGGACAGGGCCTCTCCCCATGGCTCCTGAGCCCACGGCACCCTCTGCACCCCCCGCACCCATCCACGCCTGCTCTCTCTTGCTTCGCCTCCAGCCTCTGAGCCTCTGAGTGATTTCCTGTGCCCAGTACACTCCCTCCCTGGCACCCAGCCCTTGCCCAGGGGGCTGCTTTCCTCGCTGGCTCCTGAATTGGTGGGCATCTTGGTGGTGGCTGCTGGGCAGGTCTCAGGGTGGGGCAGGGGCTGCATCACGGGTCTGCACTGCATGGAACTGACATGGCATGGTGCAAACCCCTCAGCCTGGCATTCAGCGCCGTTCCCATGCTGCTCATGCCCCCACCTCCTAGGCTTTCCGCATGGCACACCTGAGTCTCCTGCAGCTCCCTCAGGGCTCAGCAACGGCCCCCACTCACTGAGGCAGTGAGTCCTCTCTGCCGGGGCTTGCTCTTCTTCCCGCCAGGTCCCTGACCAGTGTTACTGCCTTCCCTCTTCCTCCAGGATGGGCTGCTGCCCTCCTCCCCTGGAGCTGTGCCACCTCCAACCTCTCAGCCGGCAGCTCCTGCCCCACCCCACTCATGTCCAGACCTGGGCTCCATGCTGACCCCCAGTGTGCACGGAGGTCCTGCCGTTCCTTGGGTGTGGACCTGCGCTGAGTCTGCATTCACCTGCACTAGCCCGTCCACCTGGGAGGAGGGTCCCATCGTCCTCCCTGTGGGGAAGATGCTTGGCAGAGCTCTTCTGGGTCTCAAGGGTCTGCTTCAAACCCTTGCTCCAGCCCCTGCCACACTCCATGCAACCTGGCCACACCTGCAACCTGTACTCTGAGGTGGCAGCCCTGCCCTGCTGGTGCCAGCCCCTCTGCCTCACCACCCCAGTCCCTGAGCTCCCTGGGGCTGGACACCACTTCTCTGGATTCTAAATCGGCCCCCGCAGGGTACCTGTTCCTGCATCTGCTGCTTCCCCCCGCCTCCTGATCTGGGTCCTTCTGAATCTGGTCATGACTCACCTTCTGCTCAGCCCACCCTCCCCTTCGTGCTGCCCCAGCTTCAGAGGAGTGCCCCCTTGATGTCCCACTCCCTCCACCAATGACAGCTGATCTGTCCTCTCTCCTGGCCGCATGAGCTCTCAGGAAGAGGCAGTGCTACACCGAGGGCCCGGGAAGCCTCTCTAGGTCCCTGTCCCCACCTTCCAAAGGAGGGCTGGGACAGAGGTGGCAGAAATCGTGGCTGGAGCAGACTTCTGACCCGGCGCTGCTCCAGCTGTGACTCCTCACACCCCTCAGACTTGCATCTTCCATCTTCGAACAGGAGCCTGCAGCCCCTGAGGAGGCGGCATCTCTGCCCGTGGGAAGTCACACGCACTGAGGCTGATGCAGGTGCTCCAGGCTCAAGGGTGCAGGAGGAGCCCCCCACCCTGGGGGGCCAGAGCTCAGCCCCAGCTCTGCCACATTGACCTCCTGGGCATCCTCGTCTGCAAGACGTGGGGTGGATGGAGAGCCACAGGGGTCGCCTGTGGCCTTGAACAGGCAGCTGGCATGGGGGGCACGGTTCACGCCCTGGTGGGGGAGGGGAGCAGCAAATGTGCGCCAGCTGCACTGTTTTCTGCCTGCACAACCCCAAGAGATGGGTGTCCTCACTCAGCTGGGCATTCAGATGAGGAAGCAGAGACAGGCTGAGACACTTGCCCAAGGCCGCTGGCATGGCTAGGCTGTGTGTTCCCACCCAAATCTCATCTTGAGTAGTGATCTGCAGGTGTGGAGGGACAGACCTGGTGGGAGGTGACTGGATTGTGGGGCGGTTCCCCCATGCTGGTGCTAGTGAGGGAGTTATCATGAGATCTGACAGTTTTGTCAGGGGCTCTTCCTCCTCCTCACTTCTCTCTCCTGCCGCCATGTGAGACGTGCCTGCTTCCCCTTCCACCATAGGCCTCCCCAGCCACGCAGAACTGAGTCAATTAAACCTCTTTCCTTTATAAATTACCCAGCCTTGGGTATTTCCTTGTAGCAGTGTGAAAATGGAAGACTACACACAGCAAACCACAGCACCAGAGTTGGGGACCAGGGCAGTGTGGCTCCAGGTATGCGCTCCTGATGAGGAAACGGGACACCAGCTAGAGAAGGGGCCCTCCCTGCTTTCATGGGGACATTCACAAGGAGACCTGGTGCTCAGTGCAACATCTGGGGGCCTCCCTGAGACCAGGACCCATGGGCGTCACAAGCTCCTGAGGGGCCGTGCCCTGCCAACACTGCTGGGCGCGTGGGTACAGAAATACTTTCAATAGAAGCACAGCAGAAGGGATTTCTCCCAAACCCTCTGCTACCCAGAAAACTGCGTGGACTGGAATTCTGCATTTCTCTAACATTCTGTTTAGCCAGACCCTGACTCCACCAAAAACAAGCCCTCAGCTGACTGCTGGGGTGGGCGGTGGTGACTGTCCTTCCAGCCCGGGCACTGTTCCACGCTCAGTGCTGATTTGGCCTCACTTAACCTTTGCTGCTGGGCTCTGCCACATCCCAGGGTCCCTGTGTGACCCGGGCAGGCGCCTTTCCCCCTCAGCCTGGGGTCCTTTCCGGCTGGGAGGTGATGGCCCTTCCCCAGGGGAGGCTGCCAAGTGCTGTGTGTGCACTTCCTCCGTGGAATTCTCACCTCCCGGGCCAGGCCCTGGGCGGAAGGAGGCTGCTGGCCCCACGTGGCCTCCCCCGCTGGAGGCTCTGCCAGAACCCACGTCTGCAGTGCTTGGAGCCATTTCTTGGCACAAATATAAAACACAACTCCACTCTCTCGTGTTCCAAATGAGAAATGCTGCTTGGGGAGCTGGGCCGGCCTGGCCACCGGCCCTCGGTCAGCAGCCTGCCACGGCGGGGCTACGAGAGCCTCATCAGCAGAGCTTCCCGGAGGAAGCGGGGGTGGGATTGTCAGCAGGCGGGCCTGGGATGGAGCTTCCCCACCGGAACACAGCTGGCTGCGGACAGGGAGTCAGCTGCCACCCGGTGGGACGAGGAGGCCTGTGGCCATAGCAGGTTCCCGCCTGCAAGCGCCTCCCAGGGCTCCGCAGCTCTGAGCCCCCACAGCTGGATGGAGCTGTGCTCCCCGCGGAGGCGTGGCCAGTTCCGAGCAGGCACTGGGGGGTCTTTCCCTCCACCTCAGTCCTTGCCTACGTGGGCACAGCAGAGGGCCTGCTCACACGATGGGGCCCCCAACCAGGCAGGGCCAGGCTGTGTCCCCACTTGGAAAGTGAACAAAGAGGGACACGTCCATTTGAGGGGCCGGCTGATAGTTTAGAAGCCCGGGATCTCCTGGCAGTGAATTATTCTGCAGAGTAACAGTGTGTGCAGGGGGATGCGGCCGAAAACCCCGGGAGGGGAGACTGCAGGCCTGAAGCGCTTCCATCCTCCGCCCGGGCCTCCGAGCGCAGCGTGCATCCTGAGACCGTCCTGTCGTCCTTCCCTTCTTTCCCCTTTCCCTCCTGGCCTTTCTCCTCTTTCTCCTTTTTTCTGTTTCCTTCTTTCCTCGCTGAAGCCAGAATTCATTTCTGCTACTTGCATCCGAAAAGGGTGCACACAGGCAAGCTTGCTGGGACCCTGGGTCCCGCCCCTGGCCACCTGGAGGCAGGGCTGCTGTCCGTGTACAGACAGGAGTCCAGGCGAAGCCTGAGGAGCTACTGTGTGATCCGGCCCCAGCTCCTTCACCCGCCCTGTCTCCGGGTGACTGACAGACCTGGCAGGAGGAAGAGCCTTGAGCCCAGAAAGTCCAGGCCCTCCAGGAAGCTTCGGTGTGACCTCACATCTGGCAGGTTTTTTTTTTCTTTGAGGCGGAGTTTCGCTCTTGTTGAGAGGCTGGAGTGCAAAGGTGCAATATCGGCCCACTCCAACCTCCGCCTCCCGGGTTCAAGCGATTCTCCTGCCTCAGCCTCCCGAGTAGCTGGAGTTACAGATGCCCACCACCACACCCAATTTTTGTATTTTTAGAGAGACGGAGTTTCACCATGTTGGCCAGGTTGGGCTCAAACTCTTGACCTCAGGTGATCTGCACGCCTCGGCCTCCTGGAGTGCTGGGATTACAGGGATGAGCCGCCGCACCTGGCCTCACATCTGGCAAGTTTTGTAGCTCAGGTTTTATGTGGGGTCCTGAGGCAGCCCCTGGGCAGTTTCCTGTGGCTGTGGGAGGGTAAGGAGGGACTTTAGGACGTGATCTTGTTATTAGCAGGGACTGCGGCTGGAGCTTGACCTGCTGGGCCCTGCGGGTGGCTCTGGGTGCCACGGGTTGTGTCTGTTGTGTGGGTTATTGCCTGGGCCTGGGGAGCCCACAGGAGTCTCCAAGCCCCCTCCCAAGTGACCCCCAGCCAGGCCTAGCCACCTGGCCCCCTCTGCCAGGCTGCCGAGTCGAACCTGAAGGAGTCACTGCTCAGGCATTCGGGAGTGTCTGTGGGATGGAATGGACCCGGTCCTCAGCCTTCATGGCCGGGGTCTGGCTGACCGACTGTGGACATAAGGTTGCGGTGCCTCGGTCTGCAGGTCCCCGGAGTGTGAGGTGCTGGCCGCATGCACCTCCCATGAGCCCACAAACAACCCTGTGTTCACTGCTAGATCCCGAGGCTTTGGTCTGCTGGGTTTGGGGCAAGCCCCTTCCCTTCCTTTACAGCTGCGCACCTGTAGAGTGCGCATCCCCTGTCCGAGCAATCCCCTCTCCTCGGTGTCCTTGGCTGCCTTCCTCCTCCTCCTCCTTCTCCCACCACCTATTTTGGGACCCGTTTCTCTTCTTAGCCGTGCCACTGGCCAGCCCAGCCTCAGGCACCATCCCAGCCACTGCCCTGGAGGGCTGGCAGCTGGCAGAACCCGGAGAGCGCCCAGCCATCACCCCTCTCTTGAACAGGTGACAGATAACATTGGGGTTACTGTGGAAGCTGGAAAATAGAACCCAGAAGCATCTGAGATTTTGTAGTTCCAACTCTTCTCTAGTGACCAAAACCCACCAGGATGTTGCAGAGGCCACGCTGAAGCTTTAAAGAGTTCCTCTCCTTTGCAGCCCTGAGGATGGAAGAGGGAGGGAGGGAGGCCACCGAGGAAAGGGGAGATGGTCCCACTGGGCCTTCCCTGCCTCTCGTGTGATGGTGGCCGCCCCAGAGTGGCAGTGGGGAGTGAGCAGCTATGTAAGGTGCCCAGGCAGGGGCACGCGGGCAGCCTTGTGTGACGTGGGCAGCCTTGGGCCAGGTTCCCTAGAAGCAGAGCTGAGATGGGGATTCCTAGTCATGACGATTGCGGGTGCGTCCTGAGAAGCTGCTCCCTCCCCCAACCCCGAGCCCAGGGCAGTGCTGGCCTTGGGCAGCTTTCCCTTGCAGGGGGTGCTCCAGCTGCCGGGAGGGTCGCTGGCCCTGAAGGGTCAGGACCAACAGTTTTCTCTGCAGTGGTTGTTTGTCCCCATTTCACAGATGAAGAAACAGAGGCGTGGAGAGACCCAGGGCCTTGCCAAGGCCCCACAGCACACCCAGGAGGGGCGATGCTGGAGTCCTGCACCACGTCGCTGTTCTCACCAGGAGGAGGCCCTTGTTTGCTGCGTCCAGTGACCCCGTCTCCACGCTGCAGGCGGGAGACCACAGCCAGGTGTGAGCCACAGAGAGCGCATCATAGGGAAGCGAGAGCAGAGGCACCCACTTGACTCTGCCCTACGTGGGGCTCCAAGCCACGCCTTGCCAGAGGCTGCGAGTCCCTGGGCATGGCACCCAAGGGGGTGGCCAGGTAGGCTAGAGGGTGAGTCTGAGTGACATGGCATCCCCATGGAGATGCTAGTGGCAGCGGGTACCTGTGTCTGCAGCTCCAGAGCGAGGTCCGGGCTGGGCATGGACACGGGAGCCATGCCATGGAGGGGCTTGCTTCTATCTGCAGCTGTGACAAATCACCAGGAACTCCGCGGCGGGAATGGCTGAGACACGTGCTGGGCTCTCACTGGACTCGGGTATCCAGGTCCTGTGGGCTGAGGTCAAGGTGTCGGCAGGGCTGGGTCCTCCTGGAGGTTCCAAGGGAGAATCCGTTCCCTGCCTTTTCCCGAGTTCCTGGGCTAGGGCCCCTTCCTCCATCTCAGGTGTGTCCCCTGACCTTTCGCAGCCATGTCCCCTTCGATGGGCCTCCTCTTCTGTCCCTTGCTCCACACTGAAGGCCCCTGTGGTCACACGGCCCCCCTGCCAGTCCAGATGGCCTCCCTCCAAGGTCAGCGGTGAGCTGCTTACATGCCTGTGTGGGTTCTCTGACCCTTGGCCACACGGCTTCACATAGTCACAGGTCCTGGAGATTCGCACTGGGATATCCTGGGTGAGGAGACTTACTTTGCTGACCCCGGATGACAACTGGAGCAGTGGGAGGAGAGGAGACCCGGCTGTGTTTGTAGAGAGGCGTGGTCCGCAGGGGGTGTCAGGAGGAGAGGGCCTGGGAAGGAGAAAGCATTTGGTTTGGACATGTTGGGTGTCAGGTGCCTGTGGACGGCAGGGTGGAGCTGGTGGGGAAGGTAGGGGGCTGCCCTGGGGGTCTGGCGCATGGAGGAGGGAGTCATGGGGAGGAGGGGGCACAGGGTCCCCAAGGTCCTGGGTCTGTGCTGCTCCCCACCCTCCTCCCGTGCCTGACACCCATGGCAGTGACCAGCAGGGGCCATCGTCACCCAGTGAGGACAGGGAGAAGCTGAGTCTGGCCTGAGGTGTCCTGGGGGATGAGCTGGCACTGGGGTCCCACTGGTGAAGGGTGAGCGTGGAGATGGGCCAGGAGCCTGCTCCCTGAAATTGTGCATGGCGCAGAAGGTCAGGAACGGCCTGGCGGCCCTGTGGGAGACTGGTTACTCCCATCTGGTCCAGCAGAACCCCAGGCAGCCCCGTGGCAGCATGGTGGGGGGTGTCTATGCTGAGGGATGTGGCAAATGCCCAGAATGCCGTGAGCTTTAACAGCAGCAGTCACAGCAGTGTGCAGGCCTGTCCCTGAAAACACACAGTCTGGGAAACGTCCAGAGCGACAGGCCTGAAAACGTTAAGAGCGCTTCGATCTGCGGGCAGGTTACGGGGTCTGCACTTGCATTTCACTGACTGCGGGAGTCAGAACGATGACCCCCCGAAAAAATACCCACCTCTTCATCTCTAAAAGCTGCCTATGCCTTTACATGGAAAGGGGACATTGCCGAAGTGCTCACGGAGCCTGTGATCGGGAGGTTATCCTGGTTTGGTGCCTGCCATTATCCCAAAAGCCAGGATCCAGAACGTCAAAATCCTGAAAGTCCAAGTCCTCAAAGTCGAAAATCCCTAATATCCGACTGAACCCCGAAACCATGACAGGTTTAGAGTTAGGTTCAATCAAGGCTTCTAAAGTGCATTTCAAGGTGTTAACAGTAAAGTTTGTTTTTTTCCATTTAGCAAAATGCATTTGGCAAAAATATCCAGATGCACGGACCAGCCATGCAGAAGGGTAGTGACAGACACTTTGGCTGAAAACGGCATCATTTGCCTGCACTGGCATTCCCTCCAGCTGATGAAATTCTAGGAGAGCCGTGTCCTAAAAGATGAGAAGCACTGTTCATTGAGATGAGAGACTTTGAAAGTAGCCAGTGATCACAACGCCGGCCAGCTCTCCCGGACCATCCCCGTGCAGCTGCCGTAAGCTAGCCCTGTCATGCATCCTTTTAATCCACCTGGTCATATATTGAATTTTCTTTTTAGTTTGTAGTTTCCATTTTGTTTTTCCCATTATTTTTATTTTTGGAGACAGAGTGTCACTCTGCCACCCAAGCTGCAGTGCAGTGGTGCAATCTCGGTTCACTGCACCCTCTGCCTCCCAGGTTCAAGTGATCCTCCTGCCGCGGCCTCCCAAGTAGCTGAGGTTACAGGTGCTCGCCACCACGCCTGGCTAATTTTTGTATTTTTAGTAGAGACAGGGTTTCACCATGTTGGCCAGGCTGGTCTCAAACTCCTGACCTCAAGTGATCCGTCCACCTTGGCCTCCCAAAATGCTGGGATTATAGGCGTGAACCACCGCGCCCGGCCCCATTGTTTTTGATTATCAACATGATTTTTTACGATTTGCTGTGCTATTATTTCATCTTTGCATCATTTCCAGGACAGAAGGCATAAATAGTGTAAAGACATTGAGGGTTCTAATTTGTTGTGTGCATTTTTTACATATTTGACTCCATGAAAATGCATTATCTCAACATCGGCTTTATGTGTAAGCGTTGTGTGTGTACATAAAGTCATTGAAAGTTCCTCAATAAATGAAGCGATGTCCTTTTTGTACGCCTGCATTTATGAAAGGTAAGTTTCCCAAGGCCTGGGCCCTTGGGGTGGCTGCCTGTGCAGTGCTGACCCTTCAGTTTCTGATGGATCTTGTCACAGGATGTAGGCTGTCCATCATGGGCTTTCAAATGACTGCAGTTACCTCGGGAACTTCTTTATGAATACGGTTTGTCTGCTCATCACCAAATGTCTATACTTGCAAAAATATGTCTGTTCTTATTGCCGATTTTATTGTGTAAAGTAGCCTAGGAGGTGTTCCATTGGGTTTTCATGTTTCTCAAATAAATCTCCTTTAAAAAGTTAAATAAATGTCTTTTTTTTTTTTTTTTTTGAGACAGAGTGTCACTCTGTCAACCAGGCTGGAGTGCAGTGGCACAAGCTCGGCTCACTGCAACCTCTGCCTCCTGGGTTCCACTTATTCTCCCACCTCAGGCTGTGATCTCAGTAGCTGGGGCTGCAGGTGCCACCACGCCCGGCTAATTTTTGAATTTCAGAAATGGGGTTTTGCCTTGTTGGCCAAGCTGGTCTCAAACTCCTGACCTCAAGTGATCCATCTGCCTTGGCCTCCCAAAGTGCTGGGATTACAGGCATGAGCCACCAAGCCTGGCCGAAAATGTAAATAAACGTATTTTAAAGCATTTAAAAAAATTATTTTCCAGAATTATATTTTGAGGGTTTGGATTTTTCTTGATTTCAACATTTTGGATTGTGGAGTTCAAGACTGTGTCTTTTGAAATTATGGCCCAGACCCTCCTGAATTTCCTGGCGGGACTGATGTCAGAACCACAGGGGTTCCTGTAAGAGGCAGGCGGGAGGGTCAGAGTGAGGGGCTGTGGGGGTGAAGCGGCCTGCTGGGCAGGGAACGCACTCTGAAGGGGGAGGAAGAGGCACCAGCCGTTCTTCTAGAAGCCGACAAAGGCAAGAGACCAGATTCTCCCCTGGAGGCTGCAGAAGGAGGCCGCCTGTAGACACCTTGGTTTTAACACCACTTCTGGGGCTCTGCTGGCTGTGTCCAGCATGGCGTGACCCACCTTGAGCATGCACCTGGCAGATACTCACAGGAGGAGCCCACACACGAGGCAGGCTGGTCTGTTTGCCTCCCCAACGTGGCCCACATCACTGCACACTGCCCTCAGGGAACACCTCCTCCAGGAAGCACTCCCTGATGGCCTCACACCCTCCTCTATGCTAGTGATGGCTAAGGCTCCTCGTTACGGGCTTCCCTCTCTCTCTTCTCCTGGCCTGAGCCATCTGTGTCTCCTGAGCACCGGCTCTGGGCCTGACCCTGAGGGAGAGAACAGGACGTGGTGGTAGCAGGCGATGGTCATTGAGGGCCTCCTGTCTGCAGAGCCCTATGGTGGGTGTGTCACAGGGACCAGCACCTTCTGTAATTTCACAAGGACCCTCTGGGCGGGGGGAGGTTGTCCTGTTCTTCAAATCACAGAGGACGGTGCCTCCATGCACCTCACCCATGCACCTGTCTCCAAAGTCCTCTCTGGATGACACCTGCTGTGACCTGGAGCAGGGGTTGATGATGTGGGGGCCAGGCTGACCTGCTTGGACTCGGCTCAGCCACTGATTCACCGTGCGGGTTTGGGTGACATATTCGGCCTCCTGGCCACAGTCTGCACATCTGTGAATGGCGTGCTGGCCCTTATCTCGTGGGATTTTGGAAGGACTGTGTGGGAGAGTGGTGAGGCGCAGAGCCTGTGGCTAGATGAGCGCCCCTGGGTTACTGTGGGTGCCCCACTGCCCACCGCCACCCTTTCAGCTCAAGCAAGAAGGCCGCTAGCTCCTTTTTGTGGGAAGTAGAAAAGTTTCCTTTCTTTTTAGAGAATAAATTTGCTAATAACTCTTTGTGAAGCCCTATCCCATGTAGCTGTTAGACATGCCGTGCTTACAGACACATAGTACATTCTATGTCCTTGTACTTTAACCAAGATATCTGTGCTGCACGTGCTCACAGGCATGTCCCAGCTCGCCATTGTTTAGAACAGTTTTAAGTTGTTAGCCAATTGGGTTTTAGTTTAGATTGTGAGGTCTGGCTCCAGCCAGCGGAGATCAGACAAAGCAGTGAGGACAACCCCAAATGCATGACGGATACATATGTCTGCTTTTCCTTTGTTCATCATGCTGTCGAGGTAAGATGGCTAGCAAGGGTGTCCTTCCTGCAGGAAGTAAACATTGAGTTGTTGAGAGGTCCTTTGTCTAGGCGGATCTTTCTTCGGGGCACCGAGCATCTGTTTCCAACAGCTTCCAAGGAGGTTGGCGCCTAGCGGCCTTCCCTTGGTGTGGCATTTTCCCTCAAGGATGCAGCTACACAGGAGTTTTTAGTCTGACTTTAATGGAGGGAATTTCTGCATTTGGAAACGCAGCTGGGGGAACCGCAGTTCCCCTGGTGGGGCAGGCCGCGCTGGGTCTCTGTGGGAAGCTGCCAACACGATCTCAACATGGGCTGCTGTGTTCTATGTAGGAGGAAGCCCAGGGGCGAAGCCTCCCTGGGGCTGGCCCGGGACAGGGGTCTGTGTCTCACTAGAGGGCACCCGGCTCTGCCTGGGCACTCCTTCCTCTCTCAGCTGGGTCTGGCTGCAGCTCCAGAAACCAGCAGGTCCTGGCAGGCCATGGGGCCTGAGGGGACGCTTCAGTCAGTTGGTCAAGCTGGCCAAGTCAGTGGCAAGAACGGGCGGGCTCGGGGATCCAGAGATGTGTCAGCTGCCTTGTTCTTCTGCAGATCAGCGGAGGCCTGAGAAAGTTCCTTCTCGGCTCTGGAAGCCCATCTCCTTTGATTAAAAGCTGGGGGGAGGCACAAGCCTCATGGTGCCTTAAACTCTGGCATTTTGGAAGGAAGATTGCTGCCGTGGGAGAGAAGTGTTCGTTTTTCCGCTTGCTGTGAGGTCTTTCACGCGCCCCTTCATTTAGCTGTCACGGCAGCCCTCTGAAGCAAGCACCCTTCTCCCCATTTTACAGACGGAGGGATGAACTCTGGAAGGGACAGGGGCATGCTCAGCCCTGGAGAAAATCAGCAGCAGAGGTGGTCTGAACTTCGCTTCAAGCCCGCAGCAAATGTCTGGGGTTTGTGCCAGGAGTGAGGCAGTCAGGATGCTGTGGGTGGGGAAGAAGGTGGCGCAGGGCATGCCTCTGAGAAAGTTCCCACGGGACCCCTGCAAGGTTCAGGCTCTAGCCCTGGGATCTCTGGTGCCATTTGTGAAGACAGAGACACTGGGGGAGGTTGGGGTGCAGTGGGGAGAGTGGAGAGGCTCTCAGGCCAGGTCAAGTTGGGGTGCCCACTGGCCCTCGCTAGCAATGCAAGTCAAAATGCAGGGTTTAAAATGAACAGCAAGAGTCAGCAAGCACCAGTGAATGGTTTGAAGACCCTGTGGACAACAGCCAGGGTAGAGGCAGCAATGGGGGCTGGGCCTAGTGGGACAGAGGCATCCCCCTGTCCCCTGGGGATGGAGGACTCTCAGTAGCTCTTAGAACCCATTGCCAGAGAAATGGTGGAGACGGGTTTACAATGCCATGAGGATTTAGTCATCCCCAGAGAATCCTTACCCATCTACTCATCCATCCATCCATCCATCCACCCACCCACCCACCCATCCATCCATCCATCCACCCACCCATCCATCCATCCATCCATCCATCCATGCACCCACCCACCCACCCATTCATCCACACATACATCCACTCATCCATCCGTCCATCCATCCACTCATTCATCCACACATCCATCCATCCACCTATCCATCCATCCATCCATCCACCCACCCATCCACCCTCCCATCCATCCACCCATCCATCCACCTATCCATCCATCCACCCATCCACCCATCCATCCACCCTCCCATCCATCCATCCATCCATCCACCCACCTATCCATCCATCCATCCATCCACCCACCCATCCACCCTCCCATCCATCCACCCATCCACCCACCCATTCATCCACACATCCATCCACACATCCATCCATCCATCCATCCATCCACCCACCCACCCACCCACCCATTCATCCACACATCCATCCACCCATCTACCTACCCATCTGTATTAGTTTGCTCTTGCACTGATATAAAGAAATATCTGGGACTGGGTAATGTATAAAGAAAAGAGGTGTAATTGGCTCATAGTCTTCATAGCATCCCACATCAGAGTCCTTCACCATCCTCACCTCAGGCCCTGGGGACACACCACGTTCAACAAGGCCCCAGGAGGCTTGTTCTGTCTGGGTGACTACAAATAATGAGTTCATGGTCCCATGGGGAGCATTCCACTGTAAAGTCCACGTGCATGTTATACCTGCCAATCATGCTTCATTGATTAGTAGATGCAGCATTTAACTCCCAAGAATTCATTAATTTTTTACGTTAACGTGAGATTTAATAAATGCAACACTTGCACCTTCGCATTTGTTATCCCGCTCTTCTTCTCCTTTAACTTTCCCGTGCTGTGCTCTGTCGCCACAGCTGTTTTTTGTTCAATTGTTCATTCATTCATACATTTACCCCCCCACCCACTCATCCAAACTGCCAGCCACCCACCCACCCATCCACCCACCCACTCATCCATCCAGCCACCCACACACCCATCCGCCCACCCACTCATCCATCCAGCCACCCACTCATCCATCCAGCCACCCACTCACCCATCCGCCCACCCACTCATCCATCCAGCCACCCACTCACTCATCCAAACAGTCAGCCAGCCACCCATCCTCCCACCCACCCACCCATCTACTCATCCATCCACCCACCCTTTCACCCACCCACTCATCCAGCCAGGCACCCACCCATCCACCCATCCACCCATCCATTCATCCAGCCAGCCACCCACCCACCCATCCACCCACTCATCCATCCACCCACCCACTCATCCATCCAGCCACCCACTCACCCATCCACCCACTCACTCATCCAAACAGCCAGCCAGCCACCCATCCACCCACCCATTCATCCATCCATCCACCCACCCACCCACCCATCTACTCATCCATCCACCCACCCATCCACCCACCCACTCATCCATCCAGCTATCCACCCACTCATCCATCCAGCCACCCACCCATCCACCCACCCACCCATCCAGCCACCCATCTGCCCACCCACTCATCCATCCGCCCACCCACTCATCCATCCAGCCACCCACTCACCCATCCACCCACTCACTCATCCAAACAGTCAGCCAGCCACACATCCACCCACCCATTCATCCACCCATCCACCCACTCTTTCATCTATCCACCCACTCATCCATCCACCCACCTACACACTCACCCACTATCTATTCACCCATCCGATGTACAGCCACTCATCCACCCACCCACTCACCCACCACATATTCACCCTTCCACCATCCAGCCACCCATCC